AAAAAAAGGATGCCCATCAGCCATACTAACTTTGTAAAAAGATGGACGAAGTTTCCTTTTATTAACAAAATAAACCTACTTATTAACGATTTAAAAAATGGACAAAAATGGGGAGCGGGCCGGTGGATGTCAATACTTGTGTACGAACATCAGCAGAAAGATAAAACGTGCCATGACAACTATACGACAGAAAGGATACAAACGGTTTTTATATTTGACAGTGTCTTGCTGTTTACTGCATTCAGCTGCTCGTTTGTAGAGGCCGTTTTCATTTCTCAGGGTTGCAGAGCCCTGAGTCCGCCCTAAAGGTATACAATTTAAATGCTTCAGTGGTTGTCCCCTAGCCTCTTCAGCTCTTAAAAACCACCAAAAGTACATCAGAGTACGGTGGAGAGGCCTTCGCGTTCTGATTTTTTTTACATGGTTGCTGGAGCTGCTCGTTTGTAGAGGCTGTTTCATTTCTCAGGGTTGCAGAGCCCTAAGTCCGTCCTAAAGGTATACAATTGAAATGCTTCAGTGGTTGTCCCCTAGCCTCTACAGCTCTTAAAAACCACCAAAAGTACATCACAGTACGGTGGGGGGGGGGCCTTCGCGTTCTGATTTTTTTTACATGGTTGCTGGAGCTGCTCGTTTGTAGAGGCTGTTTCATTTCTCAGGGTTGCAGAGCCCTGAGTCCATCCTAAAGGTATATAAATGAGTGGTTGTCCACCACATCATAGTACGTTGGGGGGTCCTTTTCTCAGGCTATCCCGATGGGGGGGGGACTCACCACGCGCCAGCCAAGCTACACCACCACAACAACATCCCCCAACCAAAATAACACTTCAAAGACAGCCGAAAGAGGCCTCTGACAAGTTCCACACAGTTGTCACTGATAAAGAACATTCCACTGCCTGCCCCAGGCACCGTTTTGTAAATAATCCATTATATTGTACTCAAGGGGCCACTTAACACACAGTCCTATGGGAGTTGGCTGGAGGCTGGCTAAATTTTTTAAAAGAATTTTCTGGCTAGGGGAAGCCCTGGCTTCAAAGTGACTAAACCAGGTTTTTCAGCATGTACAGGGGTAGGATATGATAAATAGTCGTTGTATTTGGACGAAAAAAAAATTAACACGTTACTTAGTTCCAGTGGTCTCTCCAAAGGAGGCCACTTACTCTACGCAGGGTTTTAATACGATCAGACGATTGAAAGTAAGGAGTCAAGACACAAAATACATAAAGGTATGTTAAATTCAGAGTTTTCAGGCTGCAACTTTTTGTGGGAGAGTCTTTCGGGATGACACGACACGTGAAATCAAAAGAAAGTACCTGCAATGGTCTAGTGCAGTGGGCGTGGTTTTTAAACTGAAGTGGCGTCACACTTACTGGATACTGCTTGTACTGTGTTGACTCCGCGGGCGCGCGCGACGAAGTTCAACACAGAGAGCCTCGGTTTCGATGCAGATACATGCGCAGACGGCGCTAATGTGAAATCCCTCTATACATGTATCAATTATAGCCTACTCTGTCTGATTGCCTACTGCCACTACTGCTGTTTTCATGTCATGTACACGCCATGTAGTTTGGGAAACAGACCAAAGTAAATCCCAAAGTCAATGGGGCTTTGGCAGGCTTCTGTGTTGTGTATTGGCTGTGGTTTTTGTGGTCTAGATGGGGGGGGAGGGAAACAGCGCTGTTAGAATAGGTCGAGGAACAAGTGTTTCCAGCTGGTGAATTTCAATTTGTATCGCAAACCTTTAATTTAACTGCATGGTAACCTTCACCATGGAAAGCCCATCCAAGTTGAATATCTCAGCATAAATTATCAGAGGGGTTTGTTGATTTGGGTTGTTAATGAGGTCTAGATTATAATGTATCATACACATATGTTTTTGTGTGAGCAGAAAAGTGTTTTTTATCATTAGTAATTAGTGTTATTTACTTAATTGAAAGATAATTTTCTTTGTACACAAAGAGAAAGAGGTTACAAGGGACCTCATTATGAAGTAAAAAATTCAAATAATCAATTCTAGATTTGAATCTATTTCCTCAAAACAGACAGGAGTGACTGAGGTTATCATGTGATTGGTATCATACTGTCTTATTCAAGGAAATAAGGAAATGCATCTTGACCTATCTCAAGATAAATTCCCATCTGATTGTTCTGGAAAGAGTGATTCAAACATATGCACGGAGCAAATTTGTTCGGCTTCTCTTGGATGGAATGGAATTAGTGGCATTTCATGGGGATTTTAAGAGCTTCGGGACGAAGAAAATGGCGTAAGTAGGATGAAGTATTTCATGTCACTACACATATGGACAAGCAAAACTCGGGCTGCGAGCCTGAATGACAGCCTACAGATTAGGTTGAGTAAATACGTGGGTAACTGGGTTTTTCTGCATGTATACATGTATTTCTCTCTCTCTCTCTTTGGTACGTGAAGGCATACAGTTGTAATCATGCCGATCTATCTAAAGAGTGTGTGGGGAGGCTCTCTGTAACGCTTGTTCTTGTAACGCCTTGTAACAATGGACTCATTGTAAACCTGGGTTCATTTATTGTTTTAGTTTTTATATTTTACCTTTAACAATATTTAGATAATTACACAGTAAAGACTAATTTGGATTAATCCATAGGGTATAATCGGAATAACGGAACAGCCCATATGGTCCGACAAGCCGACCCAGATCGGACCTCCCACCAGGGGTTGCTAAGGAGCTGGGAATAATTCTCGTAGAAAAAAAGCTGCTCTATTTTTCGTCGCCACACTGGTCTTGCGAGCTAAGCCTCACAGTTTGAAAGCTTCCCCCATTGGTTGCCGTACTTGGCGGCACTCTGACCTCCAGCTGGACAAAAACACATGTTAAAGTGACTCGTGTCTATATATAGGCCTGTTCAACAACTATAAATATCTTATCAGTTCAGTGATCCCCCTAAATATACGTCGCGATGCGACGTTGGGAAGCTAGCTCATAAATAGGTTGGAATAATCGATGTCGTATCTTAGATTATCTTCCAACGTTGGTTGGATGATATGAAGCAGACTTATGTTGTTGGGCCATGTTCCTTACATGGGCGTAAATCCCGGAAGATCCCCACCCCATCCCTTGGTTGGTGGGATGGGCTAATTTGAATCACCCCGGGCCGGCATTTTGTGATGAGATACAAATAATTTAAGACAGATTCAGTAGAATTTTTCAAGCTTCCCAACAACCACAATATTATTCAATAGCACTCGAAACGGAGAATAAAACACCATAAATATGACCTGCTGACGTAAGATTCTACAGGAACATAAAACATACGATGTTACGGAAACTGGTTCAATACGGACCTAAATCAACGTAGAAAAATGCCTGTCAACGTTGGCAAGAATAACGCTCGACACACCTTACAGGCCGTACCCCCCCCTCAACGTCGGCAGGGAGCTAGACGTAAAGACCGAAGTCAAACTTTGAATTCTTGCGGCTGTCGGTCAGATTTTTATAAACTGATTTATATTACAAAATTAATGACGTCCACCTGTTAAATTCTATTTAACTGACTTACCAACGT